ATTCAGATTTCTCAAACCTATTATAAGGACACTCGAACTAGGCAAGTGAGCTTTTCCATAGAGAATTACTCCATCGAAGAGCAATATTTACTGAAAAGGGGAAAAAGGTTCACGGGGTGCATTATTGAAGCACAATTTACTTTTTTATAAGTTCCATTTTTATTTTTATGAGGAGTAAATCTTTCAGAGAAAATTCAAAGTCAAATGAAGTTATTCGAACACAATGGTCCGTAGGAGTGTAAAAACTTTAAATGGGCGACGCATCGGTATAAGATACGATATATCACACTTTAATATCGCGATTAATCTAGTTTTCGAATTAGCTAACAAGTTATACTCTTTGTTGATACGGGTGTTTTATATTCCTCTATACCTTCTTAATTATTGAGGTCATTTTTATGTGGCAATTACTTCTCCTATGGTCAATTACACTCTTAATTATCACTAAAGGCTTATAAAAGTACTAGAAATGATTCCCATAATTCATTAAGATTTAAGTACTCAGTTTCTCCAAAAAGCTAGTATCTTGGTGATCAATGATTCTTAGTCACATCATAATTTTTTTCCGGACACACCTTTACTCAAATCCACCTTGGCATTATATTGCTGGAGAAGGAGATGAAATTTCGAAGTTTATTTATTTACTAGTAATATACCTTGGAATCCATAGAATATTTCTCTTTTGTAAAAATAAATAATATATTTTACAATTAATGAGTAGTTAAATTTTTCAACAGCTTAAATGTACCCTTCCTATAATTTTTGGCCTATAGTCTTTGGCTTTGTTTATTTTACGGAAAATAAATGATTTGAAAAATATTTTCCTAATAATAATCGCTTGTGTCACTTACAAAAATGAATGAACATAAAATATTTTCGTCGTCCACGACAATATTTAGATATAAATTATTGTCAATAATGAAAATATTTTTCATTGATTGACTATTTCAAGCGATCAATAAATAATATATTTCAAAATTCATGAGTAGTTACATTTTTCAACGGCTTAAATGTAGCTTTCCTACAATTTTTGGCCTATAGTTTTTGGCTTATGTTTGTTTCGCAAAAAATGAATAATTTGGAAAATCTTTTCCTAAAAATAACCGCTTGTATCACTCCCAAAAATAATTGAACGGAAAATATTTAGACATTATTGTCGGCATTAGCTAATTATTTCAAACTATCATTTCTAGAAAAATATTTTTCAAATTATTTATTTTCCGTGAAATAAACAAACATTTTTGTGGCTCAATTTTTCTACGAAAGGTTGGTTTAGTTTAGTTTAAGTGCTTAATTGCTAATTAATCTTCAACGCTGATTCTTTTAGTGGGAGTCCCAGGCCAAGATTGAGTGATGACTAGATAAGCCATTGGCTCTTTCCGTGAAGTCATGAGAATCTTTGGAAAGTGAGGCAGAGAGAGTGAGGTGAATCCAGACCATGAAGTTCATTAGATTCTATGGGCCACAACTATACCCCCAAAAAAAAAAATGAAGAAGCTAAAATAGATTGAACTGTTATAAGTCGATTAGTTAGTGATCGATTTGATCTATGGCTACTCAATCGAAACCAGCCCCAAGTCGGCAAGTACAAAGTGAATCTATGTACTTTATTGAATCCCAGGCCCCGTTAAGTTACCATTACTTGGTTGCTCCAGAACCAGAAGGGATGTACTAGGCCATACATGCTCGAGGTTTTTTGTACTGGTTTAGTGACAATAACAAGAACAGGGTCTAGATGTCAGATTGTCGTTTAGGATTGTCGATCTCTATTGCGGAGGGATTGGCGGTGTCACAACCTTTAAAAAGAGGTTTCATGCATATTCTCTTATTAAGTTGGGTTGAAATCAAAGGTAGGATTTCAGCTTTCAAGCTGAAATACACTATAATTCAACCGGCAAAACTAGCATATATAAGCCATTTTAGAGGCACACGGGCATTGCGCTTGCTTCACGAGTTGATTATTTTGAGCTTCATTCTAATTTTCACTGTTGATAGTAGGCTTGTCAAACAGGTAAGTTGGGTTGTAAATGGTTCAACTCAAATTGACCTATTTAACCTGTTTTGACCCATATTTATACAAAAGGATTTTGGCGACTCATACCCGACCCAACTCAAGATTCAATTTTTAGCAAATTTTCTTCTCAAATTGTTGGCTTTGAAAAATGGGTCCATCGAGGCCGGCCTCGGTCTACAGAGGCCAGGCCCGAGACTCCGGTGCTCGTGCCTCAGCTCCCCAATGCTCGGGTTAGGTTCATCGAGGCCAAGCCTAGGTCGATGGAGGCTAGGCTTGGGACCCTAGTGCCCGTGCTCGGTTTCCTGACGCTCGGGCTTAGGTCTCTAGCGCTCAGACCCAGGTCAATCAAGGCAGGGCTTGGGACCACAGCATCTGGCCCTAGGTCGATCAAGGCTAGGCCTAGTACATTGATGCCTGTGTTCAAATCCCTAACGCTCAAGCTCGGGTCCATCAAGGGTTCTCGAGCTTGGCTTTTGTAGACCCGGCTCAATTCCCTGGCTGCCTATACCAAAGTCATTAGCACTTTACTAGTGCATGTCAATTTAGCAAAGTGATGTGCCAAAAAAAAAAATTAGGAAAGTGAAAGCATGTTTTCTTTTTCAAACGACAGAAAATAATTTACAATTCATCTTTAGATTTCAACCAAATACCGAAAAATATTATAATTTTCTTTAACAATTACTTCTTGAAAAATATTTTCCAAAAATGTTAAATTTTCTACGAAATAAACGAAGTATTAGATTGGTCAACTTAATGATTCAGACATGCATATTTAAAAAAAGGTAAGATAATCTGTAATCTACTTGCGGATCAAATCGGAGTTTTTACAAGTTAATTGTGGAGAACGCTTTGATGATAAAGAAATTTAATTTTAAAAATGATTGAATAAATCCAAAAACAACCCCTTGAACCGAATATAATGTGAGCACCGTGTCTGCGTTTCCTACCTCTCCTCTATTCCCAAATTCAAAACCAATTGATAGCTCATTTGACCTTATCTCTGGCCTAAGTGGGGTTTTGTCTTTCTCCAATTCAACGATGTCCAGCTCCTTCCACGTAACACCTCTCTCTCTTATTCTTCATTGGCTTCCTGATATATCCCCCTAGCTGTCAATGCGGAATCGTTTGGTTTATCATCATCCCCATCGGCTCTTCCCCTTCTCTGTCTCTCAACTTCCACCACCGTCTTTCAAAATCGGAAAAATTGTCAAAATAGTTCTAAACCTATTACAATTATACCAATTTAGTCATAAACCTTTTTTTTTTACGCTAATTCAATCATAAACCTTTTGCATTTGTGTCAATTCAATTCATCTGGCCAATTTTGGTCAGCCAATGCAGACGTAGACGCCGGCCATTTTTTAATATTATTTTTATTTTTCTGATTTTTTTTTATTTTTTATTTTTTTTTCCTTTCCTTTTCTTTTTCCCTTTCTTTTTTGTTTCCTTCATCTTCATCTTCAACCTCTAGCCGGTCGCCAGATCGACAACCAGCTAGAGGCGGACGCTTGCGAGGTCAACCTCGTTGGCCGCTGGCAAGGCTCGACCTTGCCGTCGTTGGACGAGGCCATCCTCGCCAGCTGCCGACAAGGACAATTGGCAAAGTGGGCCTCGCCTGCCCCTAGCGAGGCTCGACCTCGTCGTCGCTGGCGAGTTCGAACTTGATTATGCTTGTTCAACCCAAATGCCTTTGCAAGAAGTCTACATTGAGTTACCGGCGAGTTCAAACTTGAATTTGCTTACACAAATGCTTATTCAAGTTGCCGGCAAGTTCAAACCTCGCCAGATTAGGCGAGGGCTCATCCTCGTCGACAAGTGGCGAGGTAGGCACGCCCGCCCCTGGCGAGGCTGGACCTCGCCATCACTGGGCGAGGTCGGCCTCGCCCAACAAAGGCAAGGTCCAGCCTCGCCAGCGGACGGCAAGGCCGACCTCGCTGGCCTCCACCTCTGGCCGATCGATCAATCGTCTTACCAAATCCAATCACCTAGAGTGTGGAGATTGCAATTTCTCTTGAGAAAAGGACGACCTTGTGAAAATTGAATAGTCTTTCAATAGTGCTGCGATAGCCATCCGCGATGAGGAGGCCAATTTTAATAGGTAATTATGTTGTAATGAAAATGGGTTTGAAATGGATTTGTTCCCGACCCATTTAGATCCATTGGATCCATTTAAACTTATTTCTAACATTTTAGCTAGACCTGTCAAATGAGTCATAAACCTATTTATTATTAAATGGATCATGAATGGGTCAAATGGATCATGAATGGATAAAACATAATGTGGGTATTAAATGGATAATAAATAAGTCATAAATAGATTTACACCTATTTTAAATTCAACTAATCTCTCTTATCCTTACTCAATCTCGCGTTTACTAACTCCGCACTCATAAATTTTCTTAAATTGAGTTGAATATGGTAGTGTTTTAGTAAATATGATTCGGATCGGTTATGGATTAAGTATGGATCGAGTCGAGTATTGATCATTATATTCACATTACATGCAAAAATGAGTGTTAAATAGGTCTCTTTGAGTCGGACCATTTTTTATCCGACTCCACCCATCCATTTGTCGGGTCTAATTTTAGCTAACCTATTACCTTAAAAAACGAATTTTGGATCCATTTTGACACAAATAATCCTACTGACCAAAGGCAGTTTATACTTGCGATTTCCAACTTGTCAATATGGCAACCTAGTTGACAGAAAATCCTACTGACCTAAGGCAGCTTATACCTAAGGCAGCTCGGGGAGATAATACTTTTTTCTTTTACTTTTCAGGCTAGTTGTAGTCTTTTTTTGGTCGTATGGCTAGTTGTAGTTGAAGTTTGGCTTTTGTAAAGCTTAGGGGATCTAACTGTCAACTTTTGCCACCTCAGATATGAAAGCACCTTGGCCTTCACCTATTTTCATGCAACGAACTAAACTCAATCCCCTGAAGGCCAACAAAAGGAAGGAATAGGACAGTAGGTACCAAAATACTTAGTTAAAGGACCAAAGCAGTACTCATCAATGTCACTAAAGAACAAGAACGAAACGGTATACCAGGCAGAAGATAAGATGATGATGGAGGCTCAAAATCCCTGTCTTCTTGAAATAGCAGAGAAGGCCTCAACGACAATGCAAAATAACAGGAGCTACATATGCCCTTGCTCCCACAACATGAAGCAGGTTACAACAGTTCGATAAAAAATCGAAATGCTGAAAGACCTGGCGTAAGGTCTCCTGACTCCTCCACCCGCTTAGTCGACCTCCTCAATCTTGGGCCCAGCACCGCCACCAGCAGCAGCAGGACCATCTTCATCCATACCACCAGCACCCATGTCCGCACCAGCACCCTGGTACATCTTGGCAATAATGGGGTTGCAGATGCTCTCGAGCTCCTTCATCTTGTCTTCAAACTCGTCGGCCTCGGCCAGCTGGTTTGAGTCCAACCACTGGATGGCTTGGTCGATGGCATCCTCAATCTTCTTCTTGTCCCCATCGGAGAGCTTGGCACTGATCTTCTCATCCTTGATCGTGTTCCTCATGTTGTAGGCATAATTCTCCAGAGCATTCTTGGCATCCACCTTCTTTTTGTGCTCCTCATCCTCGGACTTGTATTTCTCGGCTTCCTGGACCATCTTCTCGATCTCTTCCTTGGACAGCCTTCCCTTGTCATTGGTGATGGTGATCTTGTTCTTCTGACCGGTGGTCTTGTCTTCCGCAGAGACGTTCAAGATACCGTTGGCATCGATATCAAAGCAGACGGTGATTTGGGGAACGCCTCTAGGTGCCGGAGGAATACCGGAGAGCTCGAACTTGCCCAACAAATTGTTGTCCCTTGTTCTGGCTCTCTCACCCTCATAAACCTGGATAAGGACTCCCGGTTGGTTATCCGAGTAGGTGGAGAACACCTGCTCCTTCTTGGTGGGGATGGTGGTGTTTCTTGGGATCAACACAGTCATGACACCTCCAGCGGTTTCCAGACCAAGAGAGAGAGGGGTGACATCCAGCAGCAATAAGTCTTGGACCTTCTCATTGCCCTCGCCACTCAAAATTGCAGCTTGAACAGCCGCACCATAAGCCACAGCTTCATCAGGGTTGATGCTCTTGCAGAGCTCCTTCCCATTGAAGAAATCCTGCAATAGCTGCTGCACCTTGGGGATCCTAGTGGAACCACCCACAAGAACAACATCATGGATAGTGCTCTTGTCCATCTTAGCATCCCTGAGACACTTCTCAACTGGCTCCATACACTTTCTAAAGAGGTCCATGTTGAGCTCCTCAAATCTGGCACGAGTGATTGTAGAGTAGAAATCCACACCCTCGTACAAAGAGTCAATTTCGATTGTCGTCTGGGCAGTGGAGGAGAGAGTCCTCTTCGCCCTTTCACAAGCTGTCCTCAATCTCCTCAGAGCCCTCGGATTTCCACTGATGTCCTTCTTGTGCTTCCTCTTGAACTCTTGCACAAAGTGGTTCACCATTCTGTTATCAAAATCCTCACCACCAAGATGAGTGTCTCCAGCTGTTGCCTTCACCTCAAAGATACCCTCCTCGATGGTTAGGAGGGACACATCAAAAGTACCGCCACCAAGATCGAAGATCAACACATTCTTCTCACCGACACTGGTGGCCTTCTTATCGAGACCATAGGCAATGGCCGCAGCAGTTGGCTCATTAATGATACGCATGACATTGAGCCCCGCAATGACACCAGCATCCTTGGTGGCCTGCCTCTGAGAGTCATTGAAGTAAGCAGGGACGGTGACAACTGCATTCTTAACAGTCGAGCCCAGGTAGGCCTCAGCAATCTCGCGCATCTTTGTGAGCACCATGGACGAAATTTCCTCAGCAGCAAACTGCTTCTCTTCACCTTTATAGTTGACAACAATCATGGGCTTATCACCAGGGCCGGGAATGACCTTGAAGGGCCAGTGCTTAATATCGCTCTGAACTGAGGCGTCACTGAATCTCCTTCCAATCAACCGCTTAGCATCTGTCATGCAATCAAATACAAGTTAGGCACCACGGATATGGAAATGGTCGAGGTTGCAAACAAAAAATGCAAGCACAGTTGGGTATTTATGATATTGAAGCAGTTAAATCAACAAACCGAACAGATACATTAAGCACCGGCTACTGAAATTCAGTCAAAATACAACTAAAAAACTAGACTTGCAGGATGCCAAGCTGCTTCATTGGCCAAAAGACCGAGTGACATGTACGCTACAAACGTAAATCTATACGAAAGCGAAAGCCCACAAGAAATCCACAGACAAGGCCACATGGCGGTCACGTACAACTCCTATTTGCAAGATCTCCTTCAGGGGCATTCCACAACGGAATCTACCACGACGATTTTGCAAAAGTCCGTCACGCTAAATATATTAAGCAGCTCAAACCATCATGCAATGGAAAAGTTCAGAATAACCAACCATTTTCCAACTAACCAGACAAATCAGATCTCTAACTACCTCAATCCAGTAGGCAAGGTCATTCTCAAAAAAACACAGCCTATATACTAACGGCAGATCGGAGTCTTTCATCATAGCTAAACACCCGTCGGTCACACAACAACCTACGTCCGAACCTAAAGATCTATTCCTCCGGATCTAAACCTAGCTCATGTCGCGGACACCGGCTCACCGCTCGCGAACATTCCAGATCGGGAAACTTTAAAGGCCAGAAGCCACTCGAATCAACCTAACACCAACCAGATCTGGCCGGATATCCAAACCAGGAGCAACAGGAAACGCGCCTAGGAGCAGATTGCTTACCGAAGACGGTGTTGATGGGGTTCATGGCGACCTGGTTCTTGGCGGCATCGCCGATGAGGCGCTCGGTGTCGGTGAAGGCGACGTAGGACGGGGTCGTCCGGTTGCCCTGGTCGTTGGCGATGATCTCGACGCGGTCGTGCTGCCACACGCCGACGCACGAGTACGTCGTCCCGAGATCGATGCCGATCGCCGGCCCCTCTCCCTTTCCGGCCATGGATGGCGGCGGATCTTCTGCTCCCGGGTAGATAGATCCACGGATCGAAAAGAAGAGAGAGGGGGAGCGAGAGAAAAATAGGATTTCGGAGGCGCGAGAGCGAGGGAAGTGAAGAATGAAGACGGTGGAGCAACGGTGCCTATTTATGGAGGAGGGGCGCGGGCCGGGAGGGGGTGGCGTTAGGGTTTGCAGGTTCCAGAATGTTCGACGGGGCGATCCGCGGCCGTTGGATCGGGAGCGGTGGATGGACGGCCGATTTGGCCGCGGAGACTTTTCGAAAAGAAAAATAGAAAAGAGAGAAGAACAGCGGAAGGAGCGAGGAAAATATGGCCCGCGAGGTTCTGCAAAGTTGCGTGTGGGGAGGGGAGGGGGGGGGCGGTTGTGGGGCCCAGCCAGGTGGGGCATGTCGGCACCCACGTGGCGAATTCTTGCGCTGGGGAATACGAGGTGAGCGGGGCACGTAATTTTGCGCTGAAAATTGGAAAAGAGGTCGGAACGCCTTCGAAGCAAAGTGGCGTCCCAAGCGCACGGGCCACGGTCATTTCCCCGAAAAATGGAGCTATAAAGTTGATGTTGATGTACTACTACGCTGCCAAGTTTGACCTAAGATTCGATGGCTTTATATATATATATATGTGCGCTCGGGATTTAACTCGACTTGGCTCAATTGCGAAATGCTAAACCTTGATATTAAACTTGAGCTCCATCTCGGATCCTTAAATAAAATAAATATATATATATATATATGATCTGATCTTCATTCTACCGACCCAGTTGCAGATAGTCCTTAATTTGAGCTTGTGCTTGATTTACGTGCTTGCACCATGCATATCGACTCGGCTACTCGAATTAGCTTGTCTATTCCTCGATTGGGGTGTCGTCCGTCTTGGCAGCTGAACTCTATTAACTTTCGAGCTTCGATAACCAAAAAAAAAAAAGCTATCTTAACCGGGCTGTTTCTTCTACATGTAGCCGCTGATTGGAGGAATGCCCCACGGTACCGGGTGGAATGTTTCTTATTGATCCAATCGGTCTTGTTTTTTTTTTGTCCCTTAATCTTATAGGAGCCGGGACTATCATATAGGATGATATGTTCATCTTATTTCGGCGCTCAAAGGTGATGATCGCTTGTACCGAATCGAGTGGATTAGTAGACGCACACAGCTGGTGAACAGGTTCAGCACTTCGTCTCTCCACGAGTTGGCTTACGCAAGTTTCATCGGATCAGTGGAAGGTTTCGATCCCTCTAATTGTATTACCAAGCAGTTCATATGTTGTTAGGACTGTTTGGCTCGGACTAAAAATATCTGGATATTAACCAACACAGCTTGTTCGCATGCTGAGTTATCTCATAAATACGAAAGTAGTATTGCATCATTGAATTCAGACAGAAAAACATGGAGCTAAAAGAAAGGATAAGACGCATCAAATGAATTCCACTAACGCAACAATCCTTGGAGCCAGATCTAATTCTTCTACTCCTAGAAAAACATGTGAATATTTGAAATGTGGTGCACAAGGCAAGCCATAAGGTTAGGGTTTCAAAATCACTGGTAAACGAACCCATAAAGTTTTCGAATTTGTCCGTCAAGTGCAAATGACGCGAAAATGTAAGATCTGCGGAGCATTCGCATTTGCGGTGTGTTAAGATTCACATTGACCAAATGCAGAAGATACACGTTGTGCCAATTCAATCCTAAATTTTTATTTTTATCAATTAAGTCCTAAATCTTTTGCACTTGTACCAATTCAGTCCATCTGATCAATTTTAGCTGGAAATCGTTGACATGGACGCCGGCCGTCCTATGAGGCGAGGCGTGGCCGGTGCTGACGTGGATATTCTTAAATGATATTTTAATAATTTTTCGAATTTTTACTTTTTTTTTCTTTTTGCTTTTTTTTCTTTTCTTTCTTTTTTTTTTTTGAATTTTATATTCTTTTCTTTTCTCAACGCCGGCTGTCTAATGTGACGCGGCTAGAGGCCAGGGCCAGCAAGGCTTGCCCTCACCACCTCGCTGGCCACTTAAGGGTGCGAATGGTAACCATTTGCTCCAGAAATCAAATTCTTGCCAGAAATTGATTTCTGGAGGAGAAATCTGTTTGGTAAAACATGATTAATTCTGCTCCAGAAATTGATTTCTGGAACAGAAATCTGTTTTGGTTTGTTGATTTTTTTTGCATCTCAAAAAATTTAAATTTTACTCAAAGTGGGTGGCCACAGGTATTATAAGCCATTCAGTAAAGTTTTGAATTTTTTGATTTTTTTAATTTTTTTTGTGCACCTAAAAAAATTTAAATTTCACTCAAAGTGGGTGGCCACAGGTATTCTAAACCATTTTGTGAAGTTTTGAATTTTTTTTATCTTTTTGGGCACCTCAAAAAATTTAAATTTTACTCAAAGTGGGTGGCTACAGGTATTCTAAGCCATTCTGTGAAGTTTTGAAATTTTTTATTTTTTTTATTTTTTTTGGGCACCTCAAAAAATTTAAATTTCATTCAAAGTGGGTGGCCACAAGTATTTTAAGCCATTTTGTGAAGTTTTGAAAATTTTTATTTTTTATTATTTTTCTTTTTTTTGGGCACCTCAAAAAATTTAAATTTCACTCAAAGTAGGTGGCCACAGGTATTTTAAGCCATTTTGTGAAGTTTTGAAATTTTTAATTTTTTTGGGCACCTCAAAAAATTTAAATTTCACTCAAAGTGGGTGGCCACATGTGTTTTAAGCTATTCTGTGAAGTTTTGAAATTTTTGATTTTTTTTTATTTTTTATAAAAAAAATTCACCAAATTTCATATTTTCTCGAAATCTGACTTTTTTTTATTTTCTGGAAATTTTTATGAATTTTTCTAGAATTTTTCAATTTTTATGCATTTTCTGAAAAAAAAATTTGTGAGAAAATAGAGAGAATGCATTCCGGAATCAAGAAGCTACAAAAAGTAGCTTCTCTTTTTGTTGCCAAAAATGCATTCTAGAATCAAGAATGCATTCTGGAATCAAGTATTTTTAACAAACGCATTTTTATTCCAGCATGTAAAAATCGCTCCAGAATGCATTCCGGAAATTTTTTAACAAACGCCATTCTGTTCCGGAATGCATTCCGGAACAGAATTTTTATTCCGGAATGCATTCCATGCGCACCCTTGAGCTCTGAGCTCGATCGCGGCGGCTAGAGCTCCGAGTTGTTGGCCATGGGCATTCTAGCTTCTCGCTCGCGACCATGGCTGCCAAATCTCCGAGCTCCGAGCCATGGTCGCTCAAGCTTTGAAATTTTCGATTTAGTAAATTTAAAACTCGATAATTATTAAACATATAATTCGAAGAATATCCATCTCCATCGACAACTGAGATGGCGGTAAATTAATTAACGTTACTTTTACACCATTAATGTATACGTCAACATCCATTAATTTAATTCTAACACGTCGGACTCGGGACAGTTACGTTTGCAAAAAAATCATCCTCTGCAAAATTAACAATGCAATTAAGATTTTCTACGTGCCAACCCGAACTCCAAGCTAAATAATACCTTATAACCTAAGTATTATTATCGGATACGGAAATTTCCGAATGTCACGGGCGGTCCTCACGAAAATGAGGGTCTTCGAAGCAATGGTCTTCTAAGCGAAAGCGGTGGTTGAGTGGCTGTCTTCGCGAAAGCAACGGTTGAGCGGCGGTCCTCGTGAAAATCGAATTCTTCGAAGCGGCAATCAATGGTCTTCTAATAGAAAGCAACAGTCTTCGAAGCGACGGTCGAGCGGCGGTCTTAGCGAAAGTGGAGGTTGTCGAAGCGGCAGTCCTTGCGAAAATGGAAGTCTTCTAGGCGGTCGATCGAGCAAAAATGGAGGTCTTCGATTCTAAGCGAAAACAGAGCGGTCGAGCTTATGTTTCTCTAACGGAGTTATTAATCTTGAAGGACAAACTCTCTCATACAGGAAAAGCAAAAGAGGGTTGAAGAGGAGAAAAAATGGGCGGGCATTCCAATTGTTTTTGAAAAAAAGTTGCTATTTGCATTTCTGGGCTAGCAGTCAACTCGCAGTCAACTTTTCGGATGATTTTATTTAAATGTAAAATGTTTGCCACGTGTCAGTTCATGAGTAGATCTAACTAGGCAGATGCGCACCAAGTCAGCCGCCGATATTGAATATTTTCTGGTGCCTAACACCTCATATTGACTTAGGAATCATGACTCAAAAGGTGCTTTTGCATATTCACATCATTGTTTGTCATCCGGGGATTATCACCTTGGAAGCACGGACACCCTCCGAGGGCTTCCATATCGTGTTGAACACGTGTCGAACGTGTCGGACATCGATACTGATTCGACATTCTTTTTTTATTATTTAATTATTTATTTATGAATTTGAATTAAATTAATTTGATTGAAATAATCATAGAAATGATCATTTATAGTGTATATATAAAAATATACATCAAATATACAACGTGTCCCAACATATCGGATTTCTTTATTTTCTGAGACGTGTCGGCGTGTCGTGTCGTGTTGTGTCGCGTGTCGGTGCTACTTAGATTATCATTGCACGACCATCTCATGCTAAGTCCTGGGAGAATTTTAGGGCGACGTTTGAATTTGGACAAACTTTATGCTTTTTTTTTTTTAAGTGTTCTTATGTTCAATTTTCCAATTTCTACATAGGTTTCTCAAAAAGAAGAGAAAGGTATGATTCTGAATTTTACATGGGCCGCGCTATTTCCACCCATTATATAACTAAATCCATCCCATTTGTCACTAAAAAGGCAAAATCGTTCTCAATTATTCAATTGCAATTTAAAGTGGTAGTCCCAAATTTATTCACTTTCCTTCTTTTTTATTCTTTTTCTATTTTTATTTAGAATTTAATTGCCATAATTTAACATTTAACATTTTTGTCTTCATTTAATGTGGCTCGTGTATATTAAAGGTATTATGTTTCCTTTTTATTTATAGATTTTACTTCCGCATGATAAGTTTTGTCGAAAAGAAAAATTTCCAAGAAACCTAATTCTTTTTAACGTTGTCGAGTAAATTTATGGATTAATTGTCAAGTAGAATCTAGAGATTAACATAGACAATTTTTCAAAACAATATCATCTTTATAAAC